GCAAATTAATAACAATATGTCAAAGTCAGATTAAACACTTCGATTTATTGTGCATTTTCAATTTGGTACGATATTAGATGCTTCATTATAAAATCCGCATCTACAAAAACTATAAAACAAGATATCTTACCACTTCTGATAAGAATGTTAAAAAAGTGATGACACAAATTTTGTACGTATGAGTTTTGCAGCAGATCATTCATTTCCCTCCAAAAGACGGATGTTTTTTTTGTGTGGTTTGGTTTTGGTGATAGTTAAATAGATGTATTGTCATCAATACATATATAATAATATATATGTATATAAAAAATTTGGTGTATTGTAGTTTCCATCATTTAGTTTATGTGATAGTTATTGTGTTATTTAAATAAGTTATCTCACTTTTTGGGTGAAATGTTACTTTTATTCTTTGTTTGTAATACAAAAAGCAAGACACATAAAAAGGTAGAGACAAAGTTGGAAGAAGAAAACACACAACAATCTCAATCAAATAATCTCAACAATCTCACCAAAAACTTGAGATTTAATTATCACTCATGTTGAGTGATAGTTTGTGTCACATCAAGCAAACAATGCATGTATTGTTTGTGCGGAAAATTCAGAAAAACGATACATTGTGGATAGGGATGGCAATTTCGACCTGACCCGTTTTACCCGACCTGTTTGACCTGTTTTGGGGCGGGTCCGACCCGCCCCGTAGGCGGGGCGGGGCGGGCATGGGTAGTTTCATCGACCCGACCTGCCCTGACCCGCCCCATTCTCGACCCGTTCTTGTCTAAATTACATGAAATCTTAGTCAAATTACTTTGAATTTTCCTTTTATTGCATCATATTTTAGCTATAATAAAGTTGTAAATTAGTGAAAACCTCAATTTCTCCAATAATTTAACTACAATTGTCATAATATTGTTTGTTTTCTTAGTTTTATAATAAAAATAACGAATATTTCTAATATTTTTCATATAAATTGCATACCCATTGGGTCGACCTGCCCCGACCCTCGACCCGTGATCAATTACCCGACCTGGACCCGCCCTGCCACGGGGCGGGTCTGGGTACCAAGAAACCCGCCCCAGACCTGCCCCATTGCCATTCCTAATTGTGGACAATACATGTATTGTAACTATCTCAGCCAAACAATAACCAAAACCAAACTACCCCTAAATATCCGGAAATGGAAAATTATGGAAAATTGGAAATGTAAATTTTGTACAATTTTTCTAACTTATGGTACCATTTCGTAAAAGAAAAAAGGTGTATAAGCATTTTGTATAAATATCAAAATGATACACTCCACTTATGGAGTTCTTTTTCCCCTTGTATTATCCAAGGTACGGGAAAACAGAAGTCGACGGTGAGCTCGTTGGCTAGCTTCGTCGGCATAGATGGCTCGGAGATCAAGTATGAAGCATCATTTGGCCTCTCCTCCGATTTCGGAAAGGTCGGAGCGATTCGCGTCGATAATTTGCACATCAGGGAGATGTTCCTCAAGGACATCGTCCTTGACGGCTTCGCCACCGGCTCCGTCAATATCGAATGCGAGTCCTGGGTTCCGGCCAAGCTATCCGGCCAGCCAAGAAGGGTCTTCTTCACTACCAAGGTAAGCTCCCTTAATTCCTGAACACTTCGTTACTTCTGGAAATCGTTGCTCACCAGGTGTTTGATAAATTGTCGTAGAGAGGTTTTACGACTAGTGTGGGAAACTGGGAATTGTTAAGTTTTAGACCTTAGCCCTTTGACTGATTACTGGGTGTGGCGTATGTGAATTGTGATGTGAGCAGTCGTACTTGCCATCTAATACACCAGCGGGGTTGAAGAAGCTGCGAACTGATGAGCTTGTGGTTCTTCGAGGGAGTGGTCAAGGTGAGCGCAAGAAAGGCGAGAGGATATATGACTACGACGTCTATAATGACCTCGGAAACCCATCTAATCCAGATTCAGCCAGACCTGTATTGGGTGGGAAAGAGAATCCTTACCCCAGGCGATGCAGAACAGGACGACCACGATCATCCACAAGTGAGCACTCCATGGAAACCTCTGTTTTTGCTTTAAACAGTTCTTGTATGGTGGCCCTTTTCTGTTTGTTCACTTAACTATATGAACTGCTACTCTTGGTGATGACAGATCCCGCAGACGAGACAAGGGGTCTTTACTTCTATGTGCCTCGTGATGAAGAGTTCTCAGAGATTAAGACGGCACAATTTGGTGTGAAGACATTGTACTCAGCTTTGCATGCCTTGATACCAACTCTGGAGACCATACTCATCGACCCTAATCTGGGCTTCCCACACTTCACAGCTGTGAACAATTTGTTTGACCAAGGGCTCAACTTGCCTCCCTATTCTCAAACAACTCTGACATCTTTCCTGCCTACCCTAGTTAGGAACACAGCTGAAGGTAGCAATGACGTGTTGCAGTTTGAGGTCCCTCCGACAATGGATAGTAAGGAACTTCTCCTCTGTTTGTCTCAATATATAATGTCCTTGTGATCTTCACTATATGACATTACACTTATTCTCGATTGAACTTGGATAGCTTAAAAGATTTTGTATGTGACTTCAGGAAACAGCTTTTTCTGGTTCACTGACGAGGAATTTGCTCGGCAGACACTTGCTGGTGTAAATCCATGTACCATAAAGTTGATTAAGGTAGGATTGCTCAGCAAGAAAACTTGGATATACCCCATGATATCTGCAATTTACTATGTTGCTAAAATAGTAAATTGACCAAGTTTACATCTTTTTGATTTTCTCTTTGTTTGAAATCTTTTTAGGAGTGGCCTATTATGGGCACTCTGGACCCAGCTGTTTATGGTCCTCAGGAGTCTGGAATCACTAAAGAACTCCTTGAGAAAGAAATAAGAGGCTATACAACACTAGATGAGGTATATATTGTTATCTTCTGGAATAAGAGTAACCATTTTGATTATCTGATGGTGGTTTCATTGTTATGTATAGGCCATCCAACAAAAGAAGCTTTTCATGCTTGACTACCATGATGTCTTGTTACCATTTGTGGGGAAAGCCAGAGAGCTCGACAACTCAACATTATACGGGTCACGAACGGTATTCTACCTCACCCCATCCGGCACACTGAAGCCTCTAGCTATCGAACTCACTCGCCCCCCATTGGATGGAAAACCACAATGGAAGAAAGTCTATACACCAAACTCTTCTTCTTCTACAGATGTATGGTTGTGGAGGTTTGCCAAAGCTCATGTCCTGGCTCACGACTCTGCCTATCATCAACTCATTAGTCACTGGCTGAGAACTCATTGCTGCACAGAGCCGTACATAATTGCAGCAAAACGCCAGCTCAGCGCGATGCACCCAGTACACCGCCTCTTGCTCCCTCACTTTCGGTACACGATGGAGATCAATGCGCTAGCACGACTAGCTCTGATCAATGCCGGCGGAGTCATTGAGACAACTTTCGCCACCCTCAAGTATGCCATGCAGGCCAGCTCTGCAATCTATGGCCAATCTTGGCGTTTTGATAAGGAGGGACTACCTCATGATCTAATTAACCGGTGAGCGATATAGTAATTTCGCATCACATTGGCTAGGGTTTACAATTTTTGAGCTAGCAAATGTTAATAAGAAGTGGACATTGGCTAGTTTTAACATAGCATTCTAACTTAATCTTCTGGTTTCGTGGTGTCTTGCAGTGGACTGGCTATGGAAGACCCATCTTCCCCACATGGTGTGAAGCTAACCATAGAAGACTACCCGTACGCAAACGACGGCCTCCTCATCTGGGATTCCATCAAAAAATGGGTGACTGACTACGTCAACCAATATTATCCAGACTCCAAGTCCGTCTCCTCTGATGCCGAGCTCCAAGCATGGTGGTCCGAAGTCCGCTACCAAGGTCACGAGGACAAGAAGGACGAATCGTGGTGGCCGACGATCTCCACCCCGCAGGACCTCATCGAAGTTTGCACGACCATCATTTGGGTGGTCTCGGGCCACCATGCGGCTGTCAACTTTGGTCAGTACGCATTTGGGGGTTACTTCCCGAACCAGCCGAGCATCACTCGTGTCAAAATGCCGGACGAGGACCCGACTGAGGAGGAGTGGAAGCTGTTCATGGAGAAACCTGAGCGCGTGTTACTCGCCACCTTACCTTCTCAGTTTCAGGCTGCCACGGTGATGACTGTTTTGAATGTGTTGTCGGCTCATAGTCCCGACGAGGAGTATCTCGGAGGGCCGATCGAGCCCGCGTGGCGCGATGAGCCGAGCGTGAATGCAGCTTTTGAGAATTTTACTGCCAGGCAGATCGAGATCGAGGCGGAGATCGATGCGAGGAATGCTGATTCGACGAGGAAGAACAGGGTTGGAGCTGGTATTTATCCTTATGAGCTTCTGAAGCCGTTTTCAGAAAGTGGAGTTACAGAGAAGGGAGTTCCATATAGCATTTCCATTTAGCCTTCTTGGTTGTGCTTTGGGAGTTGATTGAGAATAAGAAGACTCGGAAAAAGGGTTTGGTGTGCTACTTGGTACCCTTTTTAGGTCTTTTGAGTGGTTGAAACTTCTGGTTTAATGTTGGTTTTGCAAAGTTATCGTTTGCCTAATAACTGCACAGGCTTTGAATATGGGGTTATATGCCTGTGTTTCCCCATTTTAGTTTTTGGATTTCAAATGGAAGGTTCACCTCCAAGTAATCAAGACTATGGTTTTGCTTCAATTTATCTAATGGTATCAACACTTTGTCGTAATTGAGTTGAATAGTATTTATCTTTGTGTAATTGAGTTGGTCGTCACTTGTCGCTGGTGCTCCGAGAACCCACTAGCCGCAGAACCCATCAACTCGCCAACGGAACCGAAAACCAGGTTACCAAAACCATCCAACTCGCCAACAGAAGTCAACCCAATTTGTCTGCTTCTCTGTCACCATTTCTAAACCATATCCAAAAACCCAATCACACCATATCCTTCAGAATTTTGCTTTTTACACCTATAAATAAGTAGGACACCAAATCAAACCCCAAACGTACTCACTCACACTTCTCCTTGCTAGCACATCATTTACCCAAAAAGAAAAGCATCCAACTTCATCCAGTTTTGTTCTATCACCAGCCAAAACAGAATGTCGACATTGGAAACAACACCGTCTCCGCCGGAGCAGAAGAAGGTATTCCTGGCGGCAGTGGACGAGAGCGAAGAGAGCATGCACGCCTTATCGTGGTTCGCCAACAAAATCCTGCCTGCGTCTTCCTCCGGCCACCACCGCTCTACTCTCGTCCTTCTCTACATCAAGCCTCCGCGGTCCCTCTATCTATACCCCGACGGTTAGTCACGAAAAGTTCCAATCTTTATCCCTTTCTCCCACCGATTCCTTCTTCTTCTCTTTCCCCTGTTTTTTTTCTTTTTCTGAGCCTACTCTGTTTTTTCTTGGAGGGGATGCAGGGCACATGTTTTCGGCTGATGTAATGACGGCCATGGACAAGTACAGAAACGACGTTGCTGAGTGCGTCATGTTAAAGGCCAAAAGGGTCTGTAATGAAGCAGCTGGTAACAATGATCATCATCATGTGAAGGTGGAGACGATGATAGAGAATGGGGATGCGAGAGATGTGATTTGTCAGGTTGTTGATAAGCTATGTGTTGACGTTCTTGTGATGGGCAGCCATGGTTACGGCCCTATCAAGAGGTAATCAAAGCTTCAGCTGAAGAGTGAATCACTTAGTAGTTAGTATGCTAATCGTTAATTATCTGATAATTTTTTAATTCTTAATATTTCTGTGGAAACAGGGCGTTTCTTGGCAGTGTGAGCAACCATTGTGCTCAGAATGTGAAGTGTCCAATCTTGATCATCAAAAGGCCCACATCCAACTAATGGAAGATACCATCCCCCACCAACTTCTGATTGCTTCGTAGTTCATTCCATGTTGTACGTTGTGTCTTAAAAGGATCATCATCCAACGTTGTGATTTTCATTTCCTCCATTTTATTTAGGAGATTTCTGTTGAACCTCTAGATTTTACTTTTGTGGATCGTAAATAATAATTAAAAATAAGCATTCTCACCACATATTATCGGAATTCAATTGGAAAAAGAAAAAAAAAGAGAGTGGGGTAGGAATGACAACAAAACTCGAACTCATGAGTACCCTACCCAATCCAACCTAATTAACATGGGTAAAACCCGTGTTAACGGGTTTCGAATTGAATTCGGGTTTAAACTTCTATACTGTTCACGGGGTTGAGTTTGAGCTTAGTGATATGTTAGAAACAAAGTTTCTAACGGGTTTCTAGATCAGATTTAGAGATTGGGAATTTAGGGTTTATAGAACAGAATTGAGGATTTAGGGATTTGAGGAGAGAATTTGGGGAAGAACAGATATAGAATGGCCGAAGCCTTTAGAGAGAAAGATAGACGAGATTGAGAGAAGATTAGGGATTTGGGGAGATGACTTTTCTTATTAATTTCTGCTTAATCTGACGAATGACCCAAAGTACATATATATAGGAAAATACTAGAAAACCCTAAGAACAAACCTAATTCTACTAGAAGACTACTTACCATAATAAGAATTACCCTAATAATGATTATAATAATAAATATAGAAACCCGATATAATTCGGTTTCTAACATGATATCCCCACACTTATTCTGTCGGCCTACTCTCCCCAAACCCTATCCTAATTTTAAGTTCACTCAATCTAACTCTCACGACACTCACGACTCACCTGCCACCTCCCCCGTCTCCACTCTGCTCTCCCCCCAAACTTTCTCTCCTTCCCGATCCGACCCCCAATCGGTCAATCCTTCCCCACTTCTCCCAGAAAGTTGACCGTGTGTTTTATTTCTTACCAGCAAGGTATTGTTCCCTTTTTCCCAAAAGAAAGTGGGAGGGGTATTTAATAATTGAAGTTGAACACACCATGTTTGTTGATTTGCTGCTCTCTCACAAACAAAAAGGGAATGAACGAAAAACAAAGAATTGTGTGCTTTTATTTATTGCAATTGTCATTTGTACGAGAAAATTGATGTTTGAATGTTATTTTGATAGGAACTTGTTATTGTAAATTTCTTACTATAAAAATCCATGGGTACCCATGAACCCGTGGATACCCAGCGGGTTGGGTTGAGTTTGAATTTTTCAAATCTAGTGTGTTTAATCCCGGATTTTTTTTTACGGATAAACCCATAGGTTTGGGTTTGTGTTTGGCAAAACCCGACTCAACCCGACCCATTGCCATCCCTAAGTGGGGGTTTATATAGTATCAGCCATAGAGCCAATTAGGATGGAAATTTGGTTTGTGTTTAATGGATAACCCGTAAACCGTATCAAACTGCACATATTGTGAGTAATCATATCCATAATTTGTGAGTAGTGGGATGAATGTGGTAAGTAAAATTGTGAATTTTGTGGTTAGTAGTTAACCACTAACCATAGTAGTTAATTCAAAAAATCATTATAACCACATTAGTCTAACAAACTTTTTATTTATCTTTAAGTTCACCATACTTATTGGTAATATTTTATAGGGCTAATACCACTGGAAAACCCGTACTATTAACTTTCTGTCATTTGTGTCCTAAAGTATTTGATATGACATTTGTGGGTTAAACTATTTTTCCGTTAGAGTTGACTAGCGTTGACCGTTAGTTTTTAACAGAAAGTCTAGTCAGCGTTTATGTGGCATCTGACGTGGAACTTTTATTATTATTTATTTATTTTTTCCTATTACTTTTATTAATATGGGAAAGAAAAGCTACTTAGCGATGAAGATCGACAGAGGAAGCAATAGCAGCTTCGGCAGAGACTTAAATCGCTTCTGATTTCAAGGAACTGACGGCGGCTACGAAGAAGCTTGCCATCCATGTTGGGATTGTCGCCGGTTTTGATACCTCTTTCTTCGAGTGGCTCACTGCTAAGGCCGCTATGTAACCCCAAACCCCAAATTTCCCCTTGTGCTTCCTTTGCTTTCCTTTCCCCCCTATGTAACCCTAAATCCCCGCCTTTTTCTTCTCCTTCCCCTGCTTTTTCTTCGATTCAAGAAAATCCAGAGACCTGGGAGCGGTTATATTACTCCGGGAAGAACAGGGGTGGCTCCGCGAGGATCGCGGCGAGTGCGACTCCAATCGTACTGGAGGAGACAGTGGAAGACAACGATACGACGACGGCAGAACGCTGCAGTGAAACAAAGGCGGCCACAAATTTTTCAGGGTTGGGAAAATCGTTGAGAGAGAAACGAATAGTGAGAAAAAGAATATAAAACTCAACATCAATCGTCGCCGAACAAGCAATTGTCGGTGGTTTTCGTTCTGAAAACAAAAACCCACCAACGCAGCTGCTTCTTCAATTGACAGAGACCCACCCACCAGCTGCTTCTTCGATTGACAGAGGGACCCCCGAGCCGGTCCCCTTCTCCGCAATCTTCTCTGTCTGGAATCGGGAATCACCGCTGTCAGAAGCAAGCTGGCCTTTCATCGCTCGAAATCAGGCTAGATCCAGGACGAAAATGAAACACGAAAGCGGAAAATGGAAGGGGCAAATTGACTTGATGAAGAGATGAGGATAAGTGGCTGAAAATAATTTTAATTGTTAATTTCAATTGTTAACTATTTTATTTTGTATTTTAATTGTTAATTTTAATTTGAAAATAACAACATGATGTGGCAGCTGACGTGGCGCATACATGGCTGCCACATATGTGCCATGTCATCAACAGTCAACATTTTATGGTTGACCGTTTGGTCAACCGTTATCTATAACGGTCAACGAAATTGTCAGGACGTAAATGACACACAACTATCATACGTCAGGACACAAATGTCATATCGAATACTTTAGGACACAAATGACACAAAGTTAATAGTTCTGGTTTCCTAGTTGTATTAGCCATATTTTATAAAATAATTAGCACACTACTCGGCCTATTGCCTGATAGAATTTGATGGTTATGTAATTTGTATGTGTAATTAACTCTAATGATGTGTATTTTGTTTGGTATTTGGTCATAAAAGAAAATGTTTGTATTTTGATGGAGTTCAATGTATAGATGAAATATTGTTTTCAATTTTATCTTCTTTATTGACCATGGCACGAATTATATAGAGACAAATAATATAGAAATATTGGCATATATTTTTGAATATTTTACCATTTTCAGCGAGAATGAGTCAAGTGAATTTAGCTCTTTATTCGAACATATGTGTAGAAATCATTGTAATAGAATTGTTCTTTAACGTTTGCATTCATTACTCTAGCATAAATTTACCATGCATATTTGAGATGGTAATGGACAAATAACTATTTTTTTTAACGATATATATATTACATAACATTACTTTATGAGTTTAGTAAAGAGTGCAATTGTGGACAACTTTGTTGTCTAAAACTATTCAATTACTAAATGGCGATGAAACAAATGTCAAAAGCAAAGAGAGCTGATAATGATGAATTCTACATCAGATGGAGATGTAAATACTGCAAGCATAATTGGAGAATCGCTCCAAAGTTCAACCTGAGTTGCATTTGCAGGCAATTTGTTGAAAAATATGATTATTGACGCCTTCAAAGAGTTTCAATAAATATATATTACATTGGTACAAAGAAGAATTTAGCAATGCTAACTCTCACCACGAAACTAAACAAACTCAAATTTCACCTAATATGGCTATTAAATCCAATATTAGCTCTCCCACTTATATTTATATGTAGAATTTTAGCTCATATCATATCATTTTTACTCACTCACTTGTCCGGGCCCTACAAATTACTAATACTGATATGACCCATCTCCAGGCCACGACGATCAGAGCTACACAGCCTAGATCAATCAAGAAGATTGATAAAAAATGTAAGAGAAGGGTTTGAACCTCAAAGAGCAGGGGAAGGTTTTGGGTGGTTCGGCGTGCAACTTCAATGCCAACGTGGGGAAGAGGCTCGTTCGAATTGAGGTAGCAACTCGTCCATGATTGAGGTGTATACTATTACTCAATCGATGTTGAGCTCGCTCGATTACTGGATCCAATTCGGCAAACAAGGACAACTCACGAGTGAAAAACTCAATGAACTAGGTTTTAATTTCAACAAAACTAGAATGAATTACAATGTGAGGTTTGAAGCTCTTTAAATAGACAAACAACCCTAATCCTACCACAAATCTATCAAGGAAAGCCTTAACGAACTAAACTCCAAAAAGGTAAGAAAATCCAACTCGAACAAGGAAAGAAAAACATGACATCGTAGTGTCTTCGGTAGCAAGCAACTGCCTTCCGGTGCACGTCACCAAACAGGACAACCCTAACCACTTTGACACCTTCGTTCGAAGGCTTCCAAGCATCGTCGAGATCATCCAACTCCAACTATCTCTTCAGTAAGTCTCAGGCTCTTCATTGACACCCGTAGCTTCCTTCGAAAGCCCCTAACTTGGTTCGAATAATCTCTCAAAATGGGATGCTCGACAAGGTTCCCATACTTGGACAATTTCACAGCTCATTGTTCTTCTTTGCTCCATAATTCGACCCCTCCTCTGAACTCAAACAATGAATAATTGGGATCAAGAATCAAGCCCTCATCAGGCCCTCCCTGTTGAAAAGAACTTCGGATTGCTTTCAATTGATCGCTTGGAAAAACTTCGGATTGCTTTCAGGAACTCGTCCCAACTAGCTGCAAGCGCCGATTTCGCGTAGCTTCAGTCGTCACGAGTCTACCATTTTTCCCGCCAGCATGGAAATTTAAATTTCCAAAACCCCGACGGCACAGTTCCAAATTGGGCGTTTTGATTCTGGTGAGATTCGAGATGTCCTTCGCCGTTATACACGTTCCTAGAGCCTTCCCAAACTCGTTTGCATCGGTCGATTGGGTTGATTCAGCCTTAATCTCCTCAACCGATTTGGCCATTTTATCAGCGAGTTTAGTCGTTTCGAGAGGAGCTTCGACTCGAATTCGTCCCATCAAATCAATGGGATTCAACCCCATTTTGCCCAACAGAGGCGAGCATAGCTGACTGCTACAAGAAACCCTAACCTCTGGTGGGGATTACGTGGTGTACAAGCAGTTTCACGGGTAGCGAGTCGACGAGGTTTTGTCACTACTTCTAGGGAGGAATAAGGGTATGTCGCCCATCGTCCCTCGTGGCAATGCTACCACGTTGCTCCTTAATCGATGGTATAGTACCAGAGGGTTTCTTCAATAAATCAAATTGTTGGACAATCGAGCTGGGAGACACTGCCAAATGCACGGTTTCCTCTGAGTTCAGTCCATGTCAATGATTCGTCAAGAGGCAGTTTTGATCAACTGTGGTGATCATGAAGAGATTGACAAGCAAATGCTGAAAGGGAAGAAGGTTTTGTGGATGATGGTGAGGTATTGAGGAAGTTGCATCATAAGCTAATAAGCAAGTTAGGAGCAAGTTGTGTTGAAAAATGCAAGAATGGAAAAGGGGCTTTTGATGAAGTGTTAGTGCATTGAGAGAGCAAAGCATGGAAGAAACGGGTGAGAATAAGGGTCTCATATGACGGCAGTTTAATGGATTGTGAGGTAAGTAATATAGCAATCAACGTTTATTTAAAAAGTTATAGCTAGGATATGGACCCATTTATTTGTTCAAACCGAACTAAAAAATGTAAGTAAAAAGTTTTTTAATACGTAGATGCCTCAGATGAATGGATACGAGACGACGAGATGGCAAGCAGGGAGCATCCCGATAGTGACGATATCAGGACATTCGTCGACAGAGGAAGTAAACAAGACTACAAGAGTATGGAAGATGGGATGGACTTCCATTTGGCCAATCCTTCAAAAGAGTGTGAGATTTTGGATTTTGTACGAAAGATAAATGCAACGAAGAGTCGTACTAAGCAGGATTAATAAGTATCACGAATTCTCTACATCTCCACTCTCTGATTTTACTGAACCTGTCCTACATCTCCCAAGGATCACGTATTCTCTATGCCTTCCTTGCTTGGAGTTCACTTTCGAGCTTGTTCCCCTCACTCTGGAAAAAGGACAGTTTCAATTCGACATTCAGGATCTATTCAATCAGATTGAAGCGCTGGGGTGGGGGGCGAGTAGTTTGGAAATTTCTTCTTTCTAAATGAGAGCTCCGAGAGAGTTAAAAATGTAACGCTATTACGGTAAACGTCTCAAAAGGAATCATTACAACGCTCTTGCCAGTTCTATTCCTCGATAGTTTCCCCCCTCTCTAGTTAAAATCCCTCGGCCTCTACAGCTATAACAACCCAAAAAACAAATAGCACTGAAAAATGTCTCATCTAGCATTGACTTGCTCTCTCTCTCCTTTGCTTGCTTTCTTCTTTTCTTCCTAAAGCTCGTCCTGCAATCCCAAAAAAACATAATCATCATCGGCAGAGTGAAGTGAAGTGAAGTGAAGTGAAAAAGCAATAAAAGAAAGAAATTGCTGAAATGATTCGAGTTAGTAGTCCAGTCGAGTTAAAAACGTACATGTAGTTCTTCATCCTTGACATCGTCATCACTCTCGGCTGCCTCGGCTTTGAGGTCGGAGTCATCTTCTGTGTCGTCATCTTCGGCATCATCATCCTCGGCCTGTGATTCACATCCAACAACAAATAAAACATGTTAAAACACACACACAGGTGATGAAACAGAAAGAGAGAGGGAGAGACGAAGTCGAATGGATAGTATTGAGAATGCTTACATCAGAATCGGCAGGGTCATCCTTGGACGATTCCTCCTCCTCTCTCTTCTTTTCAGCTTCTTCGAATGCTGCCTTCTCAGCCTATTGTCAAACAAATCCAGCACATGTTTGATCAGTCCACCATGCAAGGAGCTCTCTATGAACACTGGAGGCTTGAGAAGGACATGCCATGCCAGAAGAAAACTATACTTACATCTTTGTTCTTCGCCCATGTTTCTTCAGCCAACTTCTTGGCGTATTCAGGATCGTCGCAGATCAAGACATTGTCAAACAGGGTTCCAGATTTCACCTGCCACAACTCAATGCCCACATACTTCAAGTTGGGGAAAACATAGATCTCTGGATCGTCCTTGAAATCTGCCAAAAACAACACAATTGATAAATATCACAGATAAGCTATCATGGCACAGGAACAGTGAAGGACAGTTCATAAAGCTAAGCCAAACCTGGGTTGTCAATCATCGGAGCCTTCCACTTGCCCTTGTAGTTGGGGTTCTTGATTTTCTGAACAAGTGTGGAGACATCAAATCAGAACTACAGGACAGCGTGTATCAACAATCAAATAACTTCCTTGTTTTCAACAGTCAAATCACAAACCTTTGCGTTCCATGGACCCTTGTACTCAGGGTTGGGAATAGTTGGGGCAGTCCACTCACCATCTTCCTCATCATCCCAATCTTCAGGCTACGGTCACAAAGACAATCTCTAATTAGAGAATGCTTCAATAAAAACCATGACAAAAGAATGAAATAGAAAAACTTAGGAGTTAGCAATTACCTTGGTGGCCTCGGTATCGGGAATCTCCTTAGGGATGTCATCATATCCCTATATCAACAGATCAACATCATCACTTACAGGTTTCTACTGAATTCTACATCAAAGAAAGATTAACTAGGTCGATGCTCTTATAGTTTACCTCTGGCTTCTTGTCCTCGGGATCATCAATGTACTCCTTATCATCCCAATCCTCAGGCTTCTTAGCTTCGGGATCCTTGATTGTCTTGGGAGGGAGAAGGCTCCAGTCGGAGTACAAGCTGCCAGTTTGCTTCTCCACGTTGTCGATCAGAATGCTGTAAGTAGCATCAGGGCGAATGATAAACGTGTAAACATGCGAGAGTTGGTCAGTCTCGCAGGGAACTTCCTTCTTGATCAAGTGGTTTGTTCCATTGTAAGTCAGAATAGCATGGACTTTCTTGGTACTGTAGCCACAGATATCAGGTCCAAACATAATACTGCAGCGAAATAGAAAACGCCCCCACATCAGAAATCAAGAGACAACAAAGTCTAAACCTATAGCAGAGTCAAATTCGGAGATAAATGGATAACCTGTATGGAGTGTCACCACCGAATTTAGTCTGGTCGACATCACCGCTCATCAGCTTCATGTACCCACCTCCACAGTCAAGCTTCTGCTCGTGCTTGACAGAGAATTGAAAGACCAGGGTTTTTTCCTTGTTGCTGAATTCCGGATACTCTGCTGAAATAGCATAGAACCTGTAGTCTTCGCTTGTCTGGATACCTGCATTGGAATTTTGCCGCAAAAATAATAAGAAAGCCAGCTATCAGTATGAATCATATACCTTCCACTAGTTAAACCTCAATGCACACATACAATTAGGAAACCTAATGGATCAGAAAAGAATTTTCACCTTTGTCATCAACGTTGCCATTCCACTTTCCTGCGGTGTAGTTCCACTCCCCAGCCATGTTCTCATCTTTCTTCCAGTCGGATTTAACCCATCTCTTTTCCCATCCATCTTAAATTAGAAATACAAAACAAATGGAATCAGTCAAATGCTAATGCTATACAACTGACAAACAAAGCCCATAGTCAGACCATCCAACTTTTGACATTTGACCTTCCAAACTACTGGGATATCCATACTTTACAAATGAAAATCGCAGACTCCATAGGCATCGGAAGCTACCAAAGACACCAAACAAATTTGTCCATCATCAGTTCGCAGTCTATATCAACTCAATAGCTCACAGCTCGATCCGAGGCCAAACAATCAACTAAAGCAAGCCTGCACTACGACAACTCGACAAGAGCAACAACCGCTCAGCAATCCAGTCATCCATTCGCAGATCTAAACAAAAACCGACTCGTCCCGAGTTCATCACTCGCTAGCAATCCAAATTCAAGCAGTAACGATCAGATCCAAACAATTCTAACATTCGCCGGCAATGGCATTATCCACTGAAAACGACGATTACTAAGCCTGATCCTGAGGCGAACTACCTCTAACGGCATTCAATGAGACTATTCCATGAACTGAAACCCGAGCCAACGCTAACAAGCAGAGAATTGATCTGAACCCGCAGGAATCAAAAACATCAAGGAAATGGAGATCTCGAAAGGGAGGGACAACGATGATACCTTCGAATTTCTCTTCGAAGAAGACGGTGGCAGAGGCGAGGGTGAGAGAAGATAGGAGGAGGATCAAGCAGAGCGAATTAGGGTTCGCCATGGCCGGAGCACGAGACGGAGAGGAGGGCGCTGTTGGTGGACTGAGAGAAAAGAGAGTGCGAGAGTGGTGAAAGAGGTTTTATAGCAGGGCTTTTGTTCATTGGTTCTGACGGCGGGCGGGGACTTTCACTTCCCCCATTCGCCGTTAACGTCACACGTGGATGACGGGAGTGCAGGCAACAAATGATAGTACGCCACGTCATCTAAGGGTGTCATTTGTGTCAACGTGGCGGTGGGCGATTGGGAAGCAAAATTGGAGTGCCGCTGTTTTCTTCTGAAGGTTAGGATATACTTTGGGAAGATGCCACGCTGCGGTTCTTTTCGCAGGGGCCGGCGGTGGCAGTGTTTACACGTGGCAAATTTCCATTCGGTAGGGGAGTGGGGTCGAATGGAAATTGCATGGAATTAATTAGAATTTTTGTTTAACACTTGGAATTTTTTAATTATAAAGGAATTAATTTTTCTGGATAATGCAAGAAAGTTTTATTTAACACTTGGAATTACTTTTTATTATTATAGAGAAATTAATTAGAATATGGGGTTAATATTTGACGTTTTTTCTTTCCTTTGGGGAGATAAGGATTTGGAATTAGTTCTCTCGTGGGAGATCACATGTCTAACGGGTTGGATACGGGGTGGATAATACATTTCCGTAATCCTATTCAAAATAGTTCGGGTTTTACTCATATTCATTTTTACATAAAGAATAGGGTATAAAGTTAAAACTATGTTCATACTCTTTCGGATTTCGGGTATCAACGGTCACCCATGGATAATAATTTCTTTTGATAACTCCAACCAACATGTTAACATTTACACGTACACTCACATTACATAAGTGAAAAAGTACGATAATAATACACTAGAATGAATAAAATTAATCTCAAACAATACAAGTTCATCAAAATATTATATTTGTATGCTAAATATAAAATAAGTTGAGAAAAATAAAGAATCATTTCTTGACAAAATAGAAAATGCATATGTGTATAATCGGGCGGATTCGAGTTAGATAGTGAGAAAATCATGTCCACCCATTACCCAAAATATTCGAGTTTGGGTTTTATTCATACCCACTAAAAATCCTTCGGGTTCGAATTTTATCTTACTCGATTGGATCGGATTCAGCCGGTTATCCACGATTTCGAATATTTTTGTCATCTCTTTCTTTGTGGAGTTTGGGTATATGTAGTAAAAATTGGTATCATTTCTCAAATTTATATATTATCATCTAATTTTTGTGTCCTTCAATTTCATATTTTAGTAAATTTTACAAATAGGTTTGGGATTTTATGGCAAACTTACCTTTCAAGGCCTAGATATGTTTGTGAACTTAAGAATTTGAAAAATAAGTTCTAACAACGTTATAGCAAATTTCTAATTATTGTCTATATATATGTACTTGTTTATTAGTAATACATATGTACTTGTTTATTAGTAATACACTAGAGATGTATTTGAAATTTATTTCAAGAATTTGAGCAAAATTTAAATACAATACCGACCTAGCACCCAAACAATTAGTTTTTATTTATAATTCCAAATCTTATATACAAACCCTCACATTCAAACGCGAGAATTATAAAAGAAAAGAGATGCAATTGAAGGGATTTGTGTATTGATTTATTTACTTAATTGTAATTAAACGCAAATTCTAATATCAAATGGATCCAATGAACGAAATTGTGCAATCTCGTGCTCTTTGTTTGCCTTCTCTAACCCAATTACAAATAAGGGACAAACTCACATATATGAGATTAATTCGTACAAGGAACCCATTGTAATTTGGATTATCTCTACAAGAGGAAAATATTGAACATAGAAATAGGAGATAAAATGCAGAATTAGATATGCTTTACATGTTGTGGCCAACCGGTTAAACTATTCCAATTTTTACAAGTTACAGGCTGCCACTTAATTTGTTTACCCTAATTGTAAATGACCCACTTGCTGATATGATATGGGCTCGCTTACTTGGATTAGAAGTTACTTTTCAGGCAAGAATAATGCAGAGACAGAAGTGTACACATGCCAAATGATTATGAATTAGTGTAGTTGGAGGGAAAATATCATAACAAATATCTAGGGGAAAGAAAAGAGTTTGACCTTGAAACTTCCCTTACTGCAACCAAATCAAATTGATCACCTTATTGTTGACTACCCTTCAGGAAGAAGAAACAACTTCAAAGAGGCTCCAATCCAATGGTGTCCCCTATAGCTGCTAAAGCCGTTTGGAGTTTTTGTCATAAACCTGCCAGGCATTTTCACTTGCATTTAGCCGGTCTCAAGTACATCGTCAATGACATTAAAAAAAACATCTGACTATTTAGAAACCTATTTATTCCAAAAACTCGAATCGTTGTCTGAGACTATGTTTCTATACTGTTATGTTTAAAGCGATTGTTAACACTAGTGGGTTTATAACTCCAATTTGACTTAATGGTAGCAGTCTTTTTTTAAACGTCTAATCTTATTTATCAGAGCTCAAAGCATTGAGATCATAAAAGAAGTAAAAGAACTCTAAACCATGTCAAACCAAGATTCATACAAATAACTGTTACAAACCGATTTATAGTCGAAATCATCATAATCCCAATATAACATAGGCACTCTGTAGCCTGTACTTCACTGGGCGCAGATGAGTACATACAGATGATCTTGGTGTTAAAAACAAGTAGAGCTTGATCCTAAAGCTTGCAGGGATGAGATGCATATTTCCGGGAGATGAAGGTTAAGCATTGGCCAAACAGAGTCAGAATTCCTGTAAAAGCTTGACATATTGTTGAGACCAAATAGTTGATTTCTTCAATGTTGGAAAAAAGGAAAAGGAAAAGTCCCATGTTTTCAACATATCTTGTCCATACTTCTCCCCTTCTTTCTATATGGGTAGATGGCAATAACAACAATTTTAGGATTTCATAATAAACAGGTCAGGGACAGGAATCAAGAATTCGCCATAGATATATTAATTAACCTAACTCAATGTTGAAGCCAAAAGGCTATGGCTTTCTCAACAAGCCACAACATGAACAATCGTGATAATTCCTTCAAGATTCCAACTTTACAAGCACATATTTAGTCAATTGATGAGCATCAACCACCTACGACCCATCTCTGCATCTACATGAACTTCAGAAGACAGAAGGCCACATAGAATCCTACTATTCAAGGAGCAACGTGAATGCAAAGGCGCATGAACTTTCATGGCAAGACCAATAACAGGATGCTAAAAAGAAAAGCTCTCATCATAACAAAGCAAACCATCACCTGGGGCAAAAAGGCAGCTTTCTCAACGAGCAACAACATGAACCATTCTCCTATTCGTTCAAGATTCCAACGTACCAGCTCCCATGTCGTCAAAATTGAGCAACATATGCATCTACCACCTCCCAACCAGGTTGTCCACCAAAACTGATCCTATGATTCAGGCAACAAATGAGTCGCCCATGAAGGCAGAGGCGCATGAACCTTCATGGGAAGACCAGTCATAGGATGCTCAAAAGACAAGCTCTCTGCATGTAATTCATGGCCACTACACACTTTCCCATCCCACTCACGAACACCTTCATACTTCACATCACCCTTTATTGACAACCCGATAAACTGGCAATGCAAGCGAATTTGATGAGTCCTTCCACTCCTAGGAAACGCCCTAATCAAAACCTCATCCTGCATTTCACCACCACCATCATTATTACCACATTTCACTGATTTCTCCTTAACAACTATAGTTTCCCCACATTCTTCCTCTAATGATTCTCCTAAGCTTCTTCTCTTCCCATTCACAGACAACACCTCGAATGAAGTCTCCATGTCCCTAACCGAAGACCCACCTGGCAAGATTCGCCCCGCATCTGATACTGCATAGACACGCCACGCCCCGAATTTGGACCGACCGTGGCCTGATTTAACTGTAATCCTTTTCCAATCTGGAGATGGACCAACGCATGAAGCAATGTAAGTCTTCCTCACCTTGTGATCAGTAAATGCCTTGACTAGCTTAGCGGCTACCTTGTGCGACTTGGTGATGATCATCACGCCGCTCGTGTCCCGATCGAGCCGATTCGCCAGGTGGAGCTCCGGGGATCCCTTTGTATTATCTGCAACACAAACATCTAGTTTTGGAGCGCGGAATTCAAATTCATGGTAGTGTTAAGGGGGAAAATTGTTCACAATAACTAAACATGAAATAGGAAACTTCAATTGCACAGGACGAGACAGATAATGATTTACCAATGGCCGGTACGACTGGGGCGGTTTTTGAGCGGGAAAGGAGAAGAGCTGGGACGGATGTCAAGACGGCCTCGCAGTAAATTCCTTGAGGTTTATTGACGGCCATCAGCCATTGATCTTCAAACAAGACTTCAGACGCTGACAAGGAGAAAAGGCTGGACCTTGAAGAGGCGGACATGGCTCTGGCGAGCTCTATCTCCTTGGAGATGGCGGGAAGAGGTGGAGATAAGGGTTTAGGGTAGTTTTGGAGGGAAATAGAAGGGGAAAGCTCAGAAGGGTTGTTGGTGAAAGTTGACATTTTAATGGCGGGGATTAGGTGAAGGGAGAAGGAGAAGAGGGGTTTCCTGGAGACGAGGATGAAGGGTTTTGCGGGAAGAGAGATGGAGTTCATTAGTTAAGAGGTTTGATTCTTAAGAAAGGGAGACAACGATGATACCTTCGAATTTCTCTTCGAAGAAGACGGTGGCAGAGGCGAGGCGAGGGCGAGAGAAGAGAGGAGGAGGATCAAGCAGAGCGAATTAGGGTTCGCCATGGCCGGAGCACGAAACGGAGAGGAGGGCGCTGTTGGTGGACTAAGAGAAAAGAGAGTGCGAGAGTGGTGAAAGAGGTTTTATAGCAGGGCTTTTGTTCATTGGTTCTGACGGCGGCCGGGGACGCTGTCGTTTATTGCTTCCTTTCCCCATTAAAACCCTCGCGGCTTGTTCAACTCAACTCCCCTGTTAAACCCTGGAGAGGAAAACTCGTTAGTCGTTAGCTCATTACTCCTTCGTCAAATTGGATCGGGGAAGAAAGGGGAAAGGTTTCAGCTTAAATTCTCCGATCATCAAGCAGCTGAAGAATCAGAACTTGAAATCCCTTGGAATTGGCGGCAGAACCTAGAAGTCGAGTTCGAGGTTCTGTTGGGAATAGAGCAGAAAAGCCTCGAATGCCTTCGATCTCCGTCGATTAGGAAACCAAGGGCCGAAAGATGTCAGCTTTGGCGCTCAGAAGATCTAGGATCTGTTCCAAGAGTCTCCTCGCAGCTTCCTTTCTCTGCCCTCTTCAACCCGAGCCACAGAACGCACTCCTCCATTCTTCAAAGCTTCACTCTTCACAATCTGTAAGGAAGAATCACCAGGTCCTGGCTTATTCCGGCTTCTCTTCAAATGGCGTCTTGAATAGAGAGCTTCAGTTCCAGAGGAGGGTTCTTCGTAGTCTTAGTACACATGCGGCAGCAGCTGCGGAGCTGTCTACTTCTGATGGCTTGACTGTTGATAGAATTGTTGCTAGTAACTGGGCCATTCTTGATGAAAGTGAGAGTGATTGGAAGAGCCATGCTGCATCTATTGCCCAGTCCATTCAAGTCATCAAGAAGCGGTTGCAGGTAATGACTGTTCTTAGGCTCTAGGAATTCAGAATGCAATTATTGAGTCGACGGTTCAATTTAGAATTGAATTGAACTTATTAGGGGTCCTCTGGATTATGGAATTGGTGGAATGTTGCCTGAAATTCATCACCTTCTGGTTATGGGTTGCTGCTCATCCAAAAATAATACATCCTCACAACCTGATCATTTCATATTCTATACATTTCGAAACATGAACATTCTTAATAATCTATGTACTTGAACAATCCGTTGTGCAAAGCATCCCTTTTTTTCTGGAGTGGCTGAAATTTCAGTTCATTTCTCGGACCCTGGCTGTCAATTTATGCATGATTTCTAGTTGTTTTTATATTGTATTTGATGCATGATTTTAATATGTGGCAGTGGAATAAGTTGATGGTTAGATTAGATCTGCTATCAGCACAGCTGAATAAGCCAGACCTTTGGGATGATCCTGTACTTGCTGGAAAGTTAAGCCGCGAGCATGGCTCATTGATGGGTAAGATGAAAGAGGTGAAAACATTGGAGCAAGATTTGATTGAGCACATTGATATGATAAAGTTGGCTCGTGAAGAAGCGGAGGACTCCGACTTGGAATTGGTGGGAAACCTTGCTTCTTGTTGTTTAGGCATGTACTCTTTTTCCTTGTGTCCTGATGAGCAAATTACTTGGTAGAACTCGTACCGGGACAATATACTGAGAACCTGATTATCTCTTGCTTAGCTTTAAATGTTAGCCTTGAACTATTGAACAGAAGGGTTGGCTGCTATTAAGATGGAACGGGTTAAATACCAATTTGGTTACATACCTCAAATTACATATCTCACATTGGACACTGAATTCAAGATCGAGACAACTAAGCACCAAAATCATCCTAATATTTCATCTTATCATTGTTGTTTTCCCATCAGTTTTCGCCATTATGTTGTTGATTCTTGGAAACAGATAATGCTAATGAAGTCGTCGTAGGGAGATTTCGTTTTTTTAATTGTCTTAATGCTTATTGTGATACACATGAACATGATATGTGACCAAATTGTAATTTGAACCGAGATGGGAGATATCATGTGTAACTTTAGCATGATCAATGAATTGACTACTTGTTTGCTCTGCAGGAATCATTGAAAGCCATGCTTGAGATGAGAAGAAATTCCAAAGAGAAAGAGCTAGAAGCTTTGTTGTCCGCAGAGCATGATTCTTGCTCATGTTACATTGAGGTAGCTCTCCAATTTACTGATATGTTACTGTCCAAATTGCTCTGCTGTATGATAAACGTCTGTTTATGGAATTTTCATTGCTTAAAGCCTGTGTCTTTATTTCTTGATGCATGAAAATAGGTTCAAGCTGGAGCTGGTGGTACTGAGAGCATGGACTGGGCGAAAATGGTGATGCAGATGTATAAACTATGGGCTCAACGCCGAGGGTTTAGAGTGACATTGGTCGACGAGATGTCTGGTGAGATGGCAGGAATCAAGGTTATATCATCTTTATCATCTTTCTCTGATTACAGAAGCACACAATCTTGTAGCTCTTATGAATTTCTGCTCTTTAGTAGGGATAATAATTGGGTAGGTCTGAGAAAGATATCTCTATCCTCGTTACCATCCCGGTTCTCAAAATTGGTATTCTGCCCATCCCCCGAACAGATAAGGGTTTTGCATACTGGTGTATGATCCTCCGGTAGCTCGTACTGTTCAATCAGAACTCACACCTTCAAAATGAGTGTATAACAAATGTCAAATTATTCATTTTCTTTACCTTATCATTCATTATCATTTTCTTCATATTCCTAGTGTTTCAACTCCATGAAGTTCCATGACTATTTTTGCCGAGTTATCTCCCGTTAACCAAACATGTCTAAATTTGATATTTCTTTTGCTACTTTCAGCGGGCAACCATCAGACTAGATGGTGAATATGCATTTGGCTATGCAAAAGCAGAAGTAGGAGTCCACAGGCTGGTGCGAATCTCGCCTTTCGACAGCAGTAAAAGGCGGCACACGTCGTTTGCAGCAGTTGCTGTGATCCCAATTCTTGGTGAAGGGTTCACACATGTTCAGATCAACGAATCCGACTTACGAATCGAACGGTTTCGATCTGGAGGAGCTGGTGGGCAAAGTGTTAACACGACTGACAGTGCTGTGAGGATAGTTCATATTCCAACTGGAGTAACTGCCACATGTCAGAACGAAAGGTGAAACTTCTTATCGACCTAAGCTCCAGTTATTACCTTTAGATATTGTCAGGGTTATGTCCCTAAGTTCTCCTTATGCTCCAAATGTTGAAATAATTCTGTCTGGGGGGTATTCACTACAGATCACAGCATATGAACAAGGCATCAGCAATGTCAGTGCTTCAGTCGCGGCTGGACCAGCTCGAGATGGCGCGGCAGGCCCAGGTGAATGCTCAGCACACTCAATCATTGACGGAAATCAGCTGGGGCAATCAAATTCGCACTTACGTCCTTCATGTAAGTGATCACAGAACCATTTCTTAAACTTCCATGCCTTACTGGTATGTTTGTAGAGAACTATCACTGTTGTTTTGGTTGGCTGAATGAATTTAACAGTTTTGGCTTGCTCTGCGTTTCTCTCCAGCCATACCGTATGGTTAAGGATCTTCGAACCGGCCACGAGGTTTCTAACCCTGATTCAGTGCTTGAAGGAGAGCTAGACGGCTTCATCTTGAGCTATCTTTCATCTTCATTGGATAAAGATGAAGAATACCAATGAACCCTTTTGAAAGACAAGAGCAGTGATAAGCTGGCAGGAGGGAGATTGTCCCAATGATTTGGGAAGATTCCAAGGAAGAGAGTAATTTATTGTTGTTGGATAGGTGATACTGTACTGAAATATTGATCATGTTGTGAACTCAACCTCTATAAATTAATACAGTTGAGACCATAAAGTTATTAATAATTGATAAATTAATAATTTATTTTATAATGTAAATGATTAACATAAATGACTTTATAATCCTAAAATAAGATTCATGTTGTGTGTTAATTTATTTAGTATAAATATAATTTTTTTTATATATTTTGATAAACTTAACTCTTAAAATACATTGTATTATCCTTCTATAACAAAAGCTCCGGCAATTCGATCAACGGATGGAAGAGCGAGGCTGCTAGAAGTCTTTCTTGATTCATTGTATTATCTTAATCGTCCAAATTAATGTATAATTACTTTAAGTATCCAAAAATGTCCTATTATTATGATTATTTGTATGGGTTGTCATAATCAGGTGGATGTAAGTTAGTTGTTTGAGTATCTAAGTGAAATGATGAATGTATCTTGACACAAAGTTCAGAAGAAATTGTGGTAGGCGTTATTGGGAGTTCTATTGAGGATAGATTGTTGGGACTTTTGATTCGAGAGTGTACGTACGATAGCCCGAGATCGGGTGACTAAGATTGTGATAGAGTCGTGACTATGTTCACTTTCTGAAATGAATTTTTTTACCATCTACAAAGCGTTGGGTTACAGGAAATTTCTCCCGAGTATAAAACTATCACCACTTTAGGTTCTAGGCTCAAGAACACTAAAGCATACTTATAAATTTTTGGAAGAAAGAAGAAGAAGAATATGTTTGATGGTCTATGGCATCATCCACCCCACACATATATTTATAGGGGCCGAATTCATGCATTTTTCATGAAAGGTTGCATTTATCCATATGAAAGGTTCATTTATCCATATGAAAGGTTATCTCTATCCATAAAGTTGTCCTTATCCATAAGGTCATCCTTATCCATAAAATAATGCAACCGCCACTAGGCCAAAGGGATGTGTCCCTTCATGAAATTATACTATTGGTTCGATCAGTCTAATCCCAAACCGGTTGGTCGGTCCAACCAAAAACTGGTTTAATTTGGTTAGTCCGGTTTAATCAAATATCCAACACAAATGAGATGATGATTCACCACTTTTGTAAGCGGTCACGCGAAAGAAAGCCTTTAGACCCACATCAATCGACTCTTCAAAGTACTTGTTGCAATTAGAGAACAGAACATCAGAGATTTTGAGTGCAATGAGAAAACTTCAAAATAAACTTCCTCTAGACTTGAACTTCAAGAAGAAACAAAGAAAAAGAATGAACTTCTACTATACTTGAACTTTAAGAAGAAACAAAGAAAAAAACTACGATTGATATTTATCTAAATCATCCTGGGGTTTTTTTTTTTTTTTTTGACAAAAATAATCTTGTATTGATTAAAAAAACAAAGATAGTTACATCCTGGAATTCAGCCAATCTGAAAATCAAATAAACGACTCGTAGTGGGGTACAAAGAAAGGGCCTTGTGAGCCACCAAATGGGCTACCCTATTGTCACGCCGACCTACAAATCGAACACTAAACCCTGTATGGATGGCGAAGTAATGCACAATTTCCTCAAGAATAACTCCCATTTGACTGTCTCTGGTATCCGCCCGAAGAATCTTATTAATGATCACCTTCGCATCTCCTTCGAACCTTATTTTCGTGAAGTCATGGTTTAGACACCATAAAATCGCTTCACAGAGTGTAAGTAATTCCACGACCATGTGATCATCAATCAACATGAATTGCACCCCATGAGCAAAGAGGATGTCCCCGAGCGTGGTTCATAATAACCATCTCACCTGCCGAATGAGATCCCCTCCTAGTTGCTCCATCCCACATACAAACAACAGAATTAGACCCATCAGGATCCAAGTGTTGCAACCGAGGGACGGTAGACTGGGAAACATGGTCAACTGGCAAGCTCATCCATTCCTCATATTGTTGGTTTTGTTGTCGCATCAAGGCAGGGATCCCAAACTGCTTTCACTCAAAGGCCACCAAGTTTAGACCGCCAGATTCTCCATAGAACTACAACAACTCTCATGAACAGCGATGGTTCATGAATGATCGACATCAAGTTTTTGAGAAAAAGTGGGAAGGTATAACGAGGTAACCCTTGCCCAAGATATTCCTGTCCCGAGTAGTCCCAAAGCGCCCGTGCTACTGGACAGTCAAGAAACAAATGCCCCATGGTTTCCTCATCAGCCCAGCACACCGGGCACCTGGGAAGCACATGAACCTTCTTCTCAATTAAAGCTTCCGTAGTTTGCAGGATGCGGTGAAATATTTTCCAGACAAATACTTTCAACTTGGGCGGGATATTTGCCTTCCATAAACGGATCCAATTGGCTCTATCCATCTAGCTCGCCGTGGATCGCCAACGTCCCCTCTGTTTATCCAAAAGGACTGCAAAATGAAAGGCCGATTTAACTGTGAAAATCCCCTCGGACGTAGCATGCCATATCAGCTTATCCTCAACATTCTGTCCAGGAAGGAGAATAGTTTTGATAGCCTGACAAGTGAACGGGTCAAACCACTGACCAAGCTTCAGGTCCCACCACTCCCCTCCCCCTGACAAATAACCTCAGCTACCCGGAGGTCGCCCCCAGCAGGCAACACATGGGGATTATAAACCGGGGCATTAGGATTATCATCCTGGTTACACTGTAATTTTCTTGATAAATTGTATTTTTATAATTTTGTAATTTATAGTTTATGAAATCGAAAATGCATATCTACACATAATATAATAGCAGGAAGGAAAAAATCTTTCCCCCATTTCAAATTCCCTGCTCGAGGAGCGTTTGTATGAAGGGTAGAATAGGGAGTGTCAATGTTTTTCTCTTTCCTCTATGGAACGGGTCAACTTACCGTATACATGCAGATTTAAACGGGCCCAGAAATTATTGCGGCCCACAAAAACAGAATAGGTTTCTTTAAGCTCTTTAACTTCTCGGTGTTGGTAAGATATCTATGAAAGGGGAAAAAATAATACTCATTTTTATTGCTAAAAAGAAAAAAATTCAACAATAAACTAATGCATGGATTCTAATGGGCTAACAGCTAGCCATAAAATAAAAGAGTTGAATGAACTTGACCTATACGAAATTTGGCCAGGAAGTAAAACAAATGAACATTATGGGTTTGTCATCCTAAAACAAGCTATTTTCTCTAGCATAACATATATTATGCTATTATTTTATATCTTAGTGCCTAAAATATAATGTATTTTAAAGTTATTAATTGGTTCAACCTCGACCAACCCAATTAGTCCAATTTTTATCATTTCAAATATATATTATATAATTATTTGATATAATAATGATTAAATTATAGTGTATTCTATAGGGAATCGTTTGATATTTGTTAGTAAAAAACTAAACAGAAATATCCATTTGGTTATTATTAACATTAAAAGGATCCTAAACATTTTCAGTTTCCTTTCGAATTTCTATGGTTTTGTTCTCGAATCAGTGATGTGCAAAATGACAAATTGCAGTCATCTCTTTTCTTTCACTATTTTTTTATTTTCAAGTAGAAAGTTTAAAAGTAAAGAATAATTAGAGTTTGACATGTGTCGGTCAAACATGCCGAATTTCAAGTTTTGGCCCGTTATGATCAAGCCTAATTTATAATACAATGGTTCCCTGATACCCGATAAAAATCTCAATCCAAACCAGTTCGACAGCTGAGTCCGTGTTTACCACCATTTTCTAGGGATACAGGAACAACGGTTCTATCCCAAATCGTGTTCTTTGTTCTTGATTTCTTTAGATTTTCTCATGGCCTGACAAAAACCAGAAAGTACAATGACGACAAGAAAGTTTTATAAAGCAAATTAATCGGCCAACGGGCCGAGTAAAAGCTAGCAACGATTGTGAGATGCTCATTTTCCGAAGATCGACGGGATAGACGATTTTTTATTCGATTTTCTGGAATTCTATTTCTATAAAACTTAGGGTAAATACAATATATTAGCCACAACTATTATGAAGCGGAGAATTATAGCCACAACTTAGGTAACATGTACTTGATTTTGATTCGTTGCATCATCCATGTCTCTTTCCCTCTAAAATTTACTATCTTTATCACGTGTTTCACAATCAAAACTATACACCAACAAACCATATACTCCATTACATTTTTGAAATTTCATACCTCATCTTCCTCCGGCCAACTGGCCGGGACCCGAACTAGTATTTATTTAGAACGCGAGGCCTCTTCCAGTTCCCCCTAGACCCTAGTCAGTAGTCAGCTACCGTTACCCGCCAAAGGGGAGCGGAGTTTGGCCATAACGATGTCGTATGAGTCTTTCCAACCTGTCGCTATTAGAGCGAGGAATCAGATTAGTTCCCCTTGTTCTTCACCATTCTCTGCAGAATCAGCAGCAGCAGCTGGGGTGCCAAAAAAACAAAGGTGTTCAAAGGTTGCGCCTTTCGTCGTCTACCTCGTAAATTCTCTGCGAACACTCTTCACACTGTTTGGATGTGTATGGCGGAAGACCCAACTCGTCTTGGCGCGTAGTTTGCTTGCAGGTTCTAATTCTCTCTTCCGCCTAAATTTTGCTGGTTTCTGTTGAGGGGATTCGATCTTTATGTTCCCTTTTTCCAATGGGGTTTGAAGATAGGAAATTGAATCTTACTTTCCCCCCCGTGTCGGGTATTTGTTGTTTCTTTTTAGCCGATAGATAAGAGCGAGAAGATTGGCAGGAAGAACGAAAAGGGAGCGAATTCATCCTTTCTAGGGTTCTTATTTTCTGGTTTTGTTCAGGGTGGGAAAATATGGAAGCGTCCTCTTCTTCTTCGTCGTCGGTGATATCTCCGGAAGACGTGTTGGAATGTCTCATGAACGACGGCACAATTGATGCTCTGAGATTGAAGATCATCAATCAGCTCAAGGCTAATGTACACCATATCTCTCTCTCTCTCTCTCTCGTAAATTTCAATTTGCCTCCCCTTACTAGTGTTGTTTGAATTGATTAGTAAACTTTGAAATTTCTGATGGAAATTATCAGAAATTTCGGAATGCCTATTGTTTGGCTGATGTCTGGTTGGAAATTTGAATTTTCTTACTGTTAACGAGAATACGAAAGAGTTTCAGAGAATCAGGTTATGTTGATTTATACTGATGAAGATAATCAACTGTTTTTTACTCCCTGCAATGGAGTGGGGTTAAAATGTGCTTAGTTATAGTTTGTGGTTTCATGATTGAAAAGGAAAAAAATAAACAACGCAACTGGTCTCCTCTCGAGTCCACGTGGCCCGGTTGATCGATCGTCTCGTTTGTTGAATCCGTATGGCGTTATTTGTTAATGTTGTCGATCCTCGTGTTCTTTATACAGGAGGCTCATTACTTCAATCGGGACTTAAGCTTTTTGTTATGTTGGTGGTTTGATTGGTGGTCAATTCGAGTCAATAAGAACAATGGTATGCTGGTCAGAACATTGAAGCGTTACATGCCTGGTCACCGTGAATGCAATGTATCAAGGGTTTTCTTTCTCTAAAGAGTTAGCATTTCGTTGGTACTTATAACATAAACTATGATAATTTCTTTCTCTAAAGATTTAACATTATATCCGAAATTATATTGGAAACCCTTGTCCATGGTCTCTTCGTGATCATTAAACCTTTTGTTTACTAGAAGAACGGTGTCTCGTACGAGTTAATGCTTCTGATACCGTGTGCATCTTATACATCTTCTGAATGCTTTTTGCATCTTGGAAGTAACTGATTGTGTAAGTAGCTATAGCTCTTTCCTCTTTTTTTGTTTCACAGGAAGAGCTGAAGAATACAACCATCAAAATGGCCGAACAGAGTAAGGTTTTAAATACCCCTGGCGCAGAGAAACAGACCAAGAGGGAACTATTCGATGCACTTCGACAAGAACTTGAGTAGGTGTCTCTATACGTTTTATTTTCTCCTTCCTTTTCTGTACTCGAAGCTATTCATTCAAAGTTCAACCTGATCCAATTAGCTGCATTTTCATATTCTTGTCATTTGTAGAACTCCGGTGCTCGAGAAGGCTTCGAAATCGGTATGGGAATTGATTCTGGACAACAATGGACTGGGGAAAGAAATAAGTGAAACGGTCGAAAGAGTGTTCTGCAAATTAAGCGGCCAAGAGCCTCCGTTGTTTCCGCCTCCAAGTAATCCTGAACCACAAGCTTCCAGGGAGAAAGAGAACAAGAAAGAGGCAGAGAAAGAAGAGGAGTTGACGATAGCAAGTCTGAAGGATAACTCTATGTTGAAACATCCGAAGAAAAGGCGGTACAACGAGATTACCAACGAGAAAAGTGGTGCTGCGAATGAAGTTGCAAGAAAATCGGCCGATGATCGATCAAGTAAATCTCCTCATTCAAAGACTTTGAACCTTACTTAGAATCGAATGAGACCATTAAGCAGAACAGAGAATTTATTGTAATGTCCCTTCTCTTCAGTAGAATGATTTTCAGAAACGTAGTTTTTAAAGTTTTCGCATAGAGTTTTTGTTTTCATTGTCAAGTGCAAACTTATGAGTTGAATGAGAATCTATTAACATATCTGTCGTTGTCATCAAAATATGTTAATTATTAATATTTATTGTCAGGAGAGACTCAAACACAAGATCTCTCTATGAATGTATAGAATATCAATTTATCACAACAACTCAAATTGTTTTAGGACGATTACAGTACTATATCCTTCCTTTGCCATGAGAAAACTTGACAAGAAATTCCATTTATTCTGCTGTGTTTAAGTTTCTGCATCAGATTCGAGAGATCTGCTCACTTCACTCTCCATGATACAAAACATGAGAATCTCTCAAGATCCCTTATTCATCAATTCCCCCAGCCCCAAACTAAGCGCAGAAGCTAGTAAAGTTCCAATCTTTCCCCTAAACCCCTACACCTAAGAAAAACACAAGCCTGTAGTCTCATACAAAAATTGGCCTAACAACGGAAAACAAATAAGCTTCTGCAATATTCAGAATCATCAGAACCTACCCCTACTCTCAAATCTTCTTTACCTAAAATTGTTGTGCCGGGTCGAGATCCATTCTTAGAACTCTCTCAATGTTATTGCCCAGGTCGAAATGCACCATCCCAGCACCAGAAATCCCTCCAACAGGGTAGGGATACCCATAAAACCCTGATGGCTGCTGCTGCTGCTCATACATTTGCCCACCATTCATAATCATACCAGTAGAAGCGCGATCCGGAACTAAAACCTGCTGCTGCTGCGCATACATTTCCCCACCTGTAATCAAACCAGCAGCAGCCGGATCTGGAACAAAACCCTGCTGCTGATACTGCTGCTGCTGCTGGTTGTCGAACATCTCGTTCCGAGGAATCGCCAAGTCAGCATAATGACCAGTCTCCAGATTACCAAGGATTTCCAATCTTTGCATCATCAGGAAATTCTTATCAACTGAAGAAGGGGATCCTTCCGATACCGACCCACTGAACTGATTGCTGCTCATTTCAGTATCAAACAGGTTGTTGTTGTTGATATGCCCATCTGATAAAGAAGCTCCTGAGCTCGAATCATAATAACTTCTCTCTGGTGCCAAGTACTGGTTCCCCGCGGCTGACATGTCGTAGCTAACCAGCCCGACATTTGGGTTGGGCTCTGGCAGCATCTCGCCCCACATTGCAGCATTGGTGATCATTTGCTGATCTGAATGGGAAAAAACGAAAGTGTATGTTGTCTTAGAACAAAGTGGTGGGGAGAAAAGGAAAGAGCTTTTGCTACATTGTTATTTGTTAGTACCTGAAACTGGGGATGGAGAGGAAAGCTGGGAGAAATGCTGCTGAGGGTTTGGGTACAGAACAGGGTTGATGACCAGGTTGAGGGTCGGGTTGAAACCGGGACAGAAGTCAGGCAGAGGTGGAAAGTAAGGATCTTGGAGACTGGGGAATGGGTTGCGGCTTAGTTGAAAGAGCCTTTGATCGGCTTGGAGAAGCTTTTCATATGGCTTCTCTAGCTTCCCTGGTGGATACACTATTTCATGCCTCCTGAAGAAGAAGAAGAGATATAAGAGCAAACAAGGAATCAGTCAGGTAATCAGTGGAACTGTAAAAAAGATTGTGTTGCCAATTGTCGCAGGTTGTTAATTTTTTTTTTTGTCATAATAATTTCCATGGTAACATAACACTTCGTATTGTTGAAAAAGGTGATAGTGTATTACTTCAATAAAAAAAACAATTTGCATTAGTGAACTTGAAGTTAAACTAATCCATTAATATTTAGTAGTTATCAAAAGTTGAATACAAGAGCATATATTATCAAGAACCAATATACACATAAGGTAGGACAAGGTATTACATCGTATGTCTTTTTCTTATTTATCTCATCAAATGAAATCAATTTATAGAAATCCATCATAATTTAAAATAAAATTAATTTGTTAAAGGTAGGGGGTTACTAAAATTTGAAAACACAACCGTGTGACGATTCGTCTCGAAAACTCGATCCATCATAACGTATACTTACATCAAACAATCAATACTAGAGATTTCCAGAATTTAAAAACACAATCAAATCAATATTCAGTTTGTCAAAATAACTCGACACATCATCACTTATACGTGGATTTAGCTCTTAGAGATAAAAGTGATTATAGATCAGAACACATTTTATGCCAAGAACAAATAGTTGCTGCAACAATTCATATTGAGAGTTCCAAAAATACATAACTCTACTATGAATCATAGCTATTAATATAAGTGGTTATCAAAATTTCGAAGGCAAAACCGTATCACAACTCCATCATTCCGTCAACATCTAATATCCACAAATATAGAATTGTAGAGTTCATAGGAGTTTTTCATAATTTCAAATGTCTTTCAACTAGATCGAGTAAAAGTAAAAAGTGTAGATTTGTCTTACTCGTAGGAAAAAAATACATTGTTCCTAATATTTGAGCAATGGTCTCTTTAAACAATAATATGAATCGTTAACAATTACACTACAAAACGTTTATTTATTTTTTTAAACTAAAAACCGTACACAAACCTAAAGTCTTAAAAACATGACTTTTTCACTATGGTTAACTAGCCCACTAACTATTTCATAAGTATTTCTTTGGTGTTTCATATTTTGATTTTCACATTTTGATTATTTCAATTAAATTTTAACAATTAATTTAGCTACTGTAAATATACATTTGAAATATTTTGAAAACTTTAGAATATCATATATATTAGTGATGGCAATGGGGCGGGACGGGGTACGGTGCGGGGCGACCCACTCTTACATGTTATTTGAAAAAAATAGACGCAAATTTTACTTTTTACGATAAATCGAATATGAAAACACTTTATGTATGAAAAAAAAAAGATAATTGAATGGGTAAATGAGTCTAACAAGTTGAAAGATCAACTCTAACTAGTTGAATAAAAGTCAAAATAGGAGAAATATGTATAGATACTGTAAGAAATCGAGATAGAATGAGTCAAGAACGGGACGAGACACGGCGGATCGGAAAATAGATAGTAGATACCTATGCCCCGCCCCACACTATCCAGAGTTGGGTATTACCCGCCCCATCACATATCAGGTCGGGTAATACCCGCAGGGCAGAGTTAAATTGTCTTCACTAATATATACATATTCAAATGACATTCCTACACCAAATTAGTTAATGACTAACTGTACTTGGTATAACTTGTTTAAACCAAGTTGATAATATTAAAAGCTAAGAATTTACATAGACATACCATTTTGATAAATAATTTGGTTGATTATTACAGGTATGAGCATAATCCATGAATTCACGAACATGCACTAAGAAGAAAAACATACGTGGAGAACCAATTCGTTCCATTTACCAACCTGCATTTTGAAGCTTCGCCGCCAGTGAAATCTGATGTCGGCATCCAGAGTGTGTGCTTTCTTGGCTGTGGATCCTTTTCTCGAAAGAAACTAGGACGTTGCTTCAACTGCGACATAAAATCACACAAACGCACTTAATCAAAACCCACGAAATGAAAGAAATCAGGACTACAAAAAACGAAGGAAAACCGCCATGCCTCGACACGAAGAACTCCAGGCTCGTTTTCACGAATACAGGCGTCAATGGCAATGATATCAGACCACTGAACTTCAATCTTGCTCTTCAAACTTCCTTCCAATATCTCCCAGACCAGTTTCTCCTTCTTAAAATAACACTTCGCCACCACATCACTCTCGTTCCTCGCAACTCTCTGTTTTCACACACGCAGCAGGGGAAGAAAAGAAAAAAAAACAGAGTCGGAACAAAACTTTCGAAACCCATATGAAAATTGGAAGCGGAATTCACCATTTTTAAAAGAAATTTACCTCCCAAGAACCGATTTTCAGCATATTTACGGGTTTGATTGCAGGTTTCTGCTTCTCTGAAGCGGGCTGAGAGCTGGGATCCCTGAGCCAGGTCGTTTCAATTCGGGGAGCATTCAGCTGACTCTCCATCCAGCGGGCCAGTTCGGGAGAATTATTGAGTTTCAATCCGAGTGGCCTCAACCTAGCGAGGTAGTCTGGCAATCTCAGCTGCAACAAAAAAGAAAACGAATCAAAACCCAAGAGGATTTCAAGAGAAAGAAAGACGAAACTCGTTTCACTTCTCCTCCATTGCCAATGGGGGAAAAGAAAGAAAGAGAAAAGAAAAAACAGAGTATCTTGAGGGAGGGGAAACCTGCTCAAGAGTGTAGTTATAGGTTGAATCTGTAGCATGGCTGGGATTGGCCATGTTCGTAACAACGGAAGAAGAAGAAGAATTCTCATATTCTGGACGGTAGTAATTGTAATTCTGAATCCGGTTCTGATACTGGTGCTGTTGCTCTGCATTTTGGTTCCAGGGGAAATTTGGGTCAGGAACATAATCCCGAACCATTGTTTTCCTCCCGAAGATTTTCTTTCTTTTGTCAGATGAGGATCTAGGCTTAGATTTCAGAGGAAACCCAATTGGATTATGACTTGAAAGGAGAGCGAAAAATGAATTAAAAATGGCGGCGGACTAGAATTTAGGGAGAGAGGAGAAAAAACAGAGTACGAGTGAGAGAGAAAAAACAGAGGAATCATCTTTTTTCCTCTCTCTCAATTTATAGAGTTATGATTTCAACTAAATACTCTGCTCTCTTGATAATTTTGGCTTTCGTTAATTTATTTCACAGACTTTTTATTTGTTTATACTTTATATTTATGCTATTAGGGTTGGGTTGAGTAGCGGTTGGGGCTAGACCAAACTAATAAGAACCGTGGTACAATACGTAAAAATATCTTAGGATAACGATCAGATTATCATTGTATTCGATTCTGTATGGTATGATCAAAATGTCAATTTGGTTCATTTTCTTCGGTATTTATAATATTCATGGATCAAGAACCGGATCGTATTATATTTGGTTTAATTTGGTTTGACCAAAGGTCTGTTTGGTCCGATCCAAATATCGATTTGGCCCAGTCCAAACGTTGATATGATTCGCTTTATGTTCATGCTTTTTTTTTTTGTAAGACATTCATATGATATAAATGTCAATATATCTAATCAAACAATCATTTATGATTTTGTCCCTTATTCTAATATTGAAGAGCGTCTGTTGATAAGTAGGAAATCATTCGATTGCAGCTATTCACAGATATCTTTCCATATTTGAAGACCGAAGAAAAGAAAGACAACAACGGCTAGCAAAGTAAATTGGGAAAGCAAGCAACGGCTAGTAGAGGAACCACTGGAAACTATGAAGACTATTTTTTGGTAAAAAATGGGATGCTAAAAGGGCGCCGCTGCCTGATACTTAAATTAAACGTGTTTGAGAAATGGCCAAATTATCATACAAGATCCAAAAGTTTAAACCCGGATCTGGAGGTTCAATAATATGGAAACCTATCCTGAAAGAGTGACCTATATTAGCAAGATAATCTCCTACTTTATTACACTCTCTATAACTAAGCGAAATGCGCACTTCCCACTGTTTCTTCATCAATTCCTGGAATTGATGATACAAAATGTAGTACATGTCATTGCTCGTCTCTAGTGACGTCAATATGTGAAAAGTAACCATGGAATCAATTTGGAGATGAACTTTCCTGTAGCCTCTTTCCCAGGCTACTTGTAACCCCTGTATGGCACCTTTAATCTCAGTCCGCTTGATACTGCATGTTCCAAGGTTTGATACAAAGGTGGCCAGACATCTACCAATATGATTACGAATGACCCCACCTGTTGTTGCTTCTGAATCCGGTTGTTTTACTGACCTATCTGTGCTTAATGTAACCCATCCTGGTGGCGGCAGAGTCCATAATAGGTCACTCAATCTCTTGCTCCGATGTTCTTAATGTATTTTGTCATTTTGTTCCTGCACTTGAGCAATTACTCTTGTCCAGCTTAGAATCCTTTAAGCTAAGATGGAATCATCCTGCTGTTTATGCTGGAAGACCCATTCATTCCTCCTCTTTCATAAATAGCATGTTGCTACACCAAAAGTTAGTCCCCAGTGACGGTCCTTGAGGTGTGCCATCAACCAACTTGCAAAATCACGACCCAAAGTGAGATTTATTTTCCCAATACCCAAGTTTCGCCATACCTGAGTTGTCATTGGGCATTGCCGAATAATGTGTTCCACCGACTCCGGGGCTTTCTTGCATAGGTCACAAGTGTCATTGGTACAAAGCTTCCTTCTTTTCCTTTCGCATTTTGTCATCAGCCGGTTATGGAAAGCAAGCCATAAGAAGTGTCTCATTCGGTTGTGGCCATTCCATTTCCAAAGGCTCTTCCAGATTGGCTGTCCAATCTCGTTGGTCGCCTCCTTATCGTCTGAATGAATCCACTCAGTCACTCCCCGGTAGACTGATCGAAGCCGAAATCTCCCTTAAGCCTCTAATCGCCATGTCATTACATACTCTCCAAGTTCAGAATTAGGAGGTTTTGTTCCTACAATAAAATAAATCATAGTATTAGGAATGTGAGGCATGATTATGGTCCACCTCCACTCACCTGTGTCAGTGGTCATCTGTGCAACTGACACCTCCCAGTCAATGTTCAGGCTAGTATCCAACACTTGGTCACTAAGGGTTGTGCCATCAGCCAACCAATGGTCCGTCCAAATTTCACATTTATGCCTTTCAAATATTCCACACAAGACCTTGCTTCATTAATGGTAGGGCATCTAATACTCATTTCCAACGTCTTGGGGTCTATGACATGGTAATACTGTCATCCTCATTTTCTCGCACATATTTTTCCTGCAAAACTTTAATCCATAAAGAATCATCGTTATTCAGAAATGACCAGCCAAGTTTCATTAGATATGTCATGTTTAAAGCTCTTTCTGATCAAAGTCCAAGTCGACCTTCCTCATTGGGTTTGCAAATGGTGTCCCAAGTGACTAGGTGTGTCTTGGTTTTGCCATCTTCAACACCCCAGATAAATGCCATAATCTTCTTGTCTATGGCATCAAAAATATGGTAGAGAATGACTGCAATTTGCATGACATAATTTGGTAAGGCATTAAGAACAGAGACTGCGAGTGTGACTCGTCATGCAAGAGAGAGACTCCTGGTTTTCTAGCCCATTAGACGTTGCTTAATCTTCTCCAGGATAAACTTATAAGTCTCCATGGTCACTCACCCATGAATAATTGGGACACCGAGGTATCATCCCAGGTTATTAGTATGTTTGATACCAAGAAGAGCACTAATCCTGCCTTCATACTATCCTTAGTATTCTTGGAGAAGAACATGCAAGACTTGTCTTTGTTAATTTTCTCTACGGATGCGTTACAGAACTTGTTCAAGCAATTTGAAATAGTGTTTCCCTACCTTGGATTCGCCTCTGCAAAAAGCACCAGATCCATTCTTCAATAAGGAGATTGGTTTCCAATCAGCTCTCTTCACTGAATCTTTAATACAATGATTAAGTCGTTCAATACATAAAATAAAGAGGTAAGGGGAGAGAGGACATCCCTATCTAAGTCCTCGAGCCGGTTTGAACTCTTTTGTGTAACTGCCATTCCATAATATTTGGAAACTCGTTGTAGTCACACATGCCATAATTAGTTACATGAAGTCCGTTGGTAGCTCAGCCGCACACAGTGTGGAGTACCAAAATATCCAGCTAATCCTGGCATAAGCTTTTGCTAAGTTGATTTTAAGATCATGGTACCCCGCTGCCCCTTTTCCTGTTCATAGAGTGGACAACTTCCTAAAGGATGATTATGTTGTCTGTTATGTAGCGACCTGGCACAAAGCTTGTTTGATTCTCGTCCACCCGCTTAGACATAAAATGTTATGGGACAATGCAAGTACCACATCAGTAATACAAGGGAAGGGACCTTGTATATTAGTGTCCACCTAGCCCAATTAGTACGAGGCCTTTTGGGGACGACACCCAAGAGTAAAACCGTGCGGGCTTGGCCCAAAGCGGACAATATCGTACTAATTGAGCTAGGTGGACACTAATATACAAGGGTCCCTTCCCTTGTATTACCGATGTGGTACTTGGATTGTCCCATAACAATCCTCCCCTCAAGACAAGGACCACGAACATCGTGTCCTCACCTCAGCGATTATCTTGATCCGCCAGACACCTTATATCGATGGGCTTTTCGGTCAAGGATTTTCCCAAACGCAGAACTCTCTTTGATCTTCCAAACAAACGTGGATCTTTCCACCAGACAAACACGGACCTCCCTCAATCTTCCAAACCAGATGTAGCCCAAACGTGGATCTCTCGTGGATCCACCAAACCAGACGCAAATCGCAAATCCTGAGGTCACCGATGAGGCTCCACTATGATGTCTACCGCCCTGAACCGAACCAGGCTCTGATACCACTTGTCATAATCGGGCAGCCCAGTACGATATTGTCCGCTTTGGACCAAGCCCGCACGGTTTTACTCTTGGGTGTCCTCCCCAAAAGGCCTCGTACTAATTGGGCTAGGTGGACATTAATATACAAGGGTTCCTTCTCTTGTATTTTCAATGTGGTACTTGGATTGTCCCATAACATAAACACTTTCAGCCTGTTAGCTAGACACTTAGCAATTTCTTTGTAGCTAACATTGCACAGTCCTATTGGCCTGGATCCTGCCTTGGTTTTGGGTCGGTTAGCCAGATGCCTGAATTGTAACTAACTATGAAGACTATTGATGTGCATGTGTGTAGTGGTATTAATGCAATCAAACATAATCAAAGTTATAAAATTTCTTAGATATGTCTAGGTTCGTATACCACAAGGTTTTTTAATAATAACTACTCACAAGCCACAACCACTCATTTAATGCTCAAACAAAGACACAACATGAATCGATGAGTTGAAGTTCCCTATGCGAATCAAACAATTACATTTACAAACTTTGACACCCAATCCAAATACTTCAAAAGCATAAGGAAATCATTATAGACCATCAATAGATATAGGGAATAAGTTCACATCAAAAATTAAATACACACCCATGACAAATCTACAAGGTAGAGTTTATCTCATAAGCAACTGATAAGCTAAAACATAGAGGCATAAAGAGTGTACAAAGAGGAGCAATAAGAAAAGACTGTGTGTAGATTCATCTTCTACACCTTGATTTGATCACTCCACTTGAATCTTGGGTGAATTTGGGGTTGGACTGATGAAGAAATATCCCAAAAACCTTCCAAACTCACCTATCTCTACATCTTCATAATCCTATGTTTCTCTCTCTAGAATGTCCCCTTTCTGGAAAAATAGTCTCGAATACTTATATCCACGTGCATATGTCACAAATAATCGGTAAAGATCAAAGATCATGGTCGTAATCTTCATGGTTTACTGGTGATCTCAATATCACGATGCAATCTCACGATCATGAGTTTTGGGAGTGAGATTGATTGCCTTCTGCACAAGTGCTCCTTCGTTTTA